CGTAAATCTCGAGAGAAAAAATCGGTATAGACGCACACGCACAGTCAACCCCTCAACAGTATGCGTTTTTACATTGCTTCGACGCAAAAAACATAAAAACGAGTTGGAAAGCCACAGATGCACCGGGCTGATCTGCTATCTTTAACATGTGGTGTGCTGCGAAGTGTCGAAAACAAAAGTCGATGGCTTTTGCTTTCGACAACTACTATAACCCGGCTCGGCTCGGTTCGGTTCGGTTTGGCTCACCTCGGCTCGGCTCACCCTGGCCGGTCTCGGGTCGCCTCGGTGGCTGCACGATATGCGAGTTGACCCGCAGGTCGTGTAGTAGGGGAGCGGTAAGAGGAGGGAGACAGCGAGGGAAGGGGCACCGCGGAGGGGGGCGTGAAGGGGGAAACAAGGGGCGGGGTTAGGAGGAGTCTGTTGTGCGAAAGTAGTGGGCGCGGGGTCGGAAGTACGGGTGAAGGGGTAGTTGGCTGAGAACGTCATGTGCCTACGTAGGGGTGAGGGGAGAGGGTGATGGGTGGAAGGAAGCAGGACCCGTACTGTTGGTTTTGTCGCGGATGCACAAGGTATGGGAAGGGCTCGGAAGGAATGTACACTGCACAGGGCATAGAACGGAGGCGAGGGAGGGGGTGGAAGAGGGTTGGCACTGCATGAGCACACTTTTGAATGCTGGACCCGGGAAGGGAGTTGTGATGAGGATGAGGGGGAGGGATGATGTGTGGGGATTTCGTGCGCGGGGATTCGAGGCAGGGGGAGACGGTCGGGTAGGTACATTGAACGGATGGCTACGTGACGTAGATCATTTGGCTGTTGCCTAGGCCATGTAAGGGAGAGGGGAGAAAGTGATGGCTTGAAAGGAAGAAGACAAGAAAAAAGTACAAGCAAGAAAGAAAGTGAAAGCAAGAAAAAAGTACAAGCAAGAAAGAAAGTAAAAGCAAGAAAAGCGAGCAAAAAACCCGCCAGGAATAGTGGACATTCCTACCTATAAAGCTGATGCTTAGGTGAAGAAAGCTGAAAGCGAATAAGTGAAGCTGATGCTTAGGTAAAGCTGAGAACTCTCAGCTCTACCTAAGCATCAGCAATTTGATCCCTCAGTTTTACCTACGCATCAGCTTCACCTCATTCGCTTTCAGCTTTCTTCACCTAAGCATCAGCTTTATAGTTGGGGATGTCTCCTATTGATGGCGGGTTTTATTTACTTTTCTTACTTTTTATGCGTTTTTGCCTGTATGCAAATTGTAAAAACGCATATTGGGACGACCTTGTCTGTGTGTGTATGTATGTGTATGTGTATGTTTGTGTGTGTGTGTGTGTGTGTGTGTGTGTTCGTCTGTCCGG